CCCCCCCCCCCCCCCCCACACACACATGACTTTCACAAGTTTCTCTGCGGATTCGGGCTCCTCTCAGCAAGCGCACTCCAACCCCATCTTCAAAAAAAAAAAAAAAAATCCTGGAACGTTTTTTGGCTCGTCTGGTTTTGCCGGACGGACCCCCCCCCTCCGTGTGGCCTGGTCCGTCTGGGCCGGACGTCGGTCTAACCCAGATGTTTATGAAAAAAAAAAATGTTCGCCCGAACACGTTCACGAGCTGTTCGTGCGAACGCGGAGGGGCGCGAACACATTTGCGGTGCTAGACCAGCCTCAAATTATTATCATTATGTTTTTTATTGCTGCGGCAGAAGACCAGCAACACCTTGAAGGCCAGGATCCTGCGGATATTGGTAGTGTTATCTGCTCTTGGACACCCAAGAGCTTGGTATAACCTCCCTACTCACTTAGCTACTCTCCTTAACCCCTTTCTCTCTCCCCCCAATCATCTTATCATCCTTTCTAACTCTACCACTACTCCCTAATCCTACCTCATGTTTCTGTCTTTTTTTCCTACTTTTCTCCTCTCCTCTCCACTATTCTCTCATACCTTTCCTCTTCACTAATCTTCCACCATCTTTTTCTCCCCTCTCCTCCTTACTCACTCACTCTCTTCCACTAATCCGTCCTTCTCCTCTCCACCTTTCCCATCCCTTTCTCTTTCACTCTCTCACTTTCCTCTCCCCCTTCCCTCCCCTAACTACAACCTCATCATCTCCCCCACCTCCCACTTCAATCTTTTTCTTTTTCTCACCTATTAATCTATTTCTTCATCATTTTTTCATTCCGCTTCCCCCCCCCCCTTCCAATTTTTCTGTTTTTCTTCTTTTGTTTTTCTCTTTGATTTAAATTTCCTCTTTTTTTCCAAAAAATAGAATGATCTTCTTCCCCACTTCTTTTCTCATTTCCGATTTATTTTATTTTTTATTTTTGCTTATTTTAAAATTTTGAATTTTCCGTGGCACTTCTATATCTTGTTAGGACTTGGTTATTTATGCTATCGGTTAGCTTTCCACCCCGGGCCCCCGGGGCACCCCACCGTGCCCGGAATGGTGCACGGGATGCCCGGTCGGGCGACCCCCCCGAGCAGGCACCCGGGCGCCTATCGCACCGAGGCAGAAAAAACCTCCAATTTTTTTTTTCGCGCTGCCACCCGATTCCGAAGGTGCCAACTTCCATTTTGGCGGTCGGCACATTTTTTTTAGGGGTCCAGTATGCCCTGTTTTGTAGTTTTTTTTTTTTCTTGGATTTTGGTCGTCGATCTCCAGCGATCGACGGCGCGCACTGATTCAGGATACAAAATTTAGTCCTGAGCTTCTCCTTATTCTTCTTCTTCTACTTTCTTCTGTTTTTTCTCTTTCTGTTTCTCTTTTTTTTCTTCTTTTTTTTCTTCGCCTCCCTCCTTCTTCCACTGATGTGGCGCTCCTCCCTCCTCGTGCCCCCTCCATCACCTCGCCGCCCTCCCTCCTCCCTTCTCCCTCCTCCCTCACTCCTCTGACGTGGCGCTCATCCGTCCTCTCTTCCTCCTCTGACGTGCCGCTTCTCCCTTCTCCTTCTGTCTTGGCGCTCCTTTGTCCTCCCTTTGACGTGGCACTCCAGCACAGGTGGGACACAGCAGCTGATGCATCTCCCACCCTGTAAATGGACAGTCCATAATCCAGCCCCCTCCTGCACGCTCTCCCCCCCCCCCCCCCCCCCCGAACTCCCCCCCCCCGAAAAAGGCAAACGGGGGCGACTCTGCCCCCCCCCCCCAAGGCGCAGCAAGGTCCGGCAGTGAAAAAAAAAAAAAAAAAAAAAACCTCAGTGTTTTTTTAGCGTGCTCGGGGTACCCCGAGCGTGGTCCCTACCCGGGCGGGGTGCCCGGGGCGCCTCGGGAAAGCTAGGCTATCGGCGCACATTTTTACCCCTTGAGGGTAACGAAGCGCTGACAAAATTTTCGTCTTTCTCCCTACTCTGTTCTTCCAGCACATTTTGACTCCTTGGGGGTAGCGAAGTGCTGATAAAATTTTTCCATTTTAGTTAGTCATTCTTCTTGACGGCACACTTCGACCTCATGGGGGTAACAAAATACCAGCGAAACTTTTGAAAAATAAATATAAAAAAAGAATTAAAACTCATTTTCTCTTCACTTTCCTCCACCTCCTCATTTCATTATTTCTTTATTTATTTTTTTAAAAATTTTAATTTACGGCATTGTGAAACTTTGCATGCTTCTCTTGGTCTCTCCTTACTCTTGGCACATTTTTGACCCTATGGGGAGTAGGGAAATGGTGCCGAAATTTCCAAAAAAATAAATATTTTTTCTCCTCAACTTGTTCATTTATTTTTTTATTTGTTTTTATTCTTTATTTTCTTCATTTATTTTTATCTTGAAAATTCACTATCTATTTATGTTTCTTTCCCCCTCCCCTCCCTGGTTATTCTTTTCTTTCATGATTAGGTCGTCGCTACTCTACCCTAACCCCCTAAACTCCGGTTAGAGTTTTCTTAGGGTTTTTCTAGGGTTTAGGGTTCTCCTAGCCCCCCTCCTTTCCCGACTCCCCCCGTTGGGCACCCTGGAATCGAATGGTTCCTCTTCCTTCGACCGACTTCTCGCCACCCTCTCATGCACGACCTGCTGGTCACGGAGCGAGCCGGCTCACAACTACCCACTTCGCTCCCGCGGTCCCCTCCCTTTTACCGGTGGACCCCTTTCCCAACACACTAGCCCATCTATTTTTCCACCTCTTTCTACACCCCCCACCATGTTTACCCCGACCCCTCCACCATACACGGATGGGCGTACACCGGAGGAGATCGTTGCGGCTCCATCTAACTCTCATCCGCCCATTCAACCAACGGTCCTCGGTCAAACCCCTATGACCTTGAGACCGTTATCGTGACCCTCCTTCCACCTATGCAAGCACAACTCGATGCGCTCGCACCCATGCAAACGCAACTGAATGTGCGCGACCTTGACATCCACCGCCTCAAGGGTTTTCCTCACTGCTCTTCCCACCGCTCCCACACTTCGGCTCCCAGTTCGGTTCCCCATGACTTGGGACAGGGAGACGTGGTGGTTCCTCATTCCCGCAAGTCAAGCCCAACATTCCCCCTCCGCAGCGGTGAGCGTCACTGCCGCTCAGACCACCCCGTCTGTTGCAGCACCTTTTAAGGTCCCTGCTGCCCCCGCCGCTTCGGCCATTGCCGTAGGTGCTGCCAGCACCTAGATACCAATATTTATTGTATTTGGCCATGCAGTCTCATCTACCCATCCCAGTGTTGCTTCCCAACTTTCCGCACCGGTCACGATATTACGACTTGGAGTTAAACCTCCTCCCTTTGTCTCCTCACTCCCACCTTAGGGCACTCTACAATTCGTCACTCCACCCCCCGCTAGAGTACCCTTTCCGACTCTTCCACCTCCGACCCCGCGCACCCAACGAGTGGCTACCTTGCAGGTCACCATGGTGCAGACACAAGCGAAGATACTCACCTTGAGACAACCCCACCCTTCACAGGCTGCTCACCCTTCACATTCCTTCATTGCCCCTCTCACTTCAGTTTTTCTGGTTCTCTTCCCTCAACCTGCTCCTCCGCCTATACTACCCTCCTACCTCACCACTCCATCATAGCTGCATGCGGCCGTTGCCTCCACCTCTGTTTCACCTTCCACCGACAGCCACGACCCA